GGGCCAGGAAGGAAGTGGGGGCTTCCCTGGGGCCCTGCAGACTTGGGCTTTGGTGGGTGGGTGGGGACATGCAGTGGTACTTGAGGTGGGACCTGGCCCATGCAACCCTATGGGGATGGGTTGCAGCCGCCCTGCTCACAAGGGGGCGGTACCTGGCTGGGGCAGGATGCTGGGCTCAGGGGACTCCTGGCTTAGGGCTTGGCCTCCCTGCGCCCTGGGCGTAGCATGAGCAGGGCATAGTGTGAGCAGGGCACAGCTACCCCTGGTGCAAGGACCTGGCCGATGGGCCTGGCTACAGGAGCCCCCAGAGCCTTGGGAACAGCTGCCATGGGCAGCGCTTGGGGATGAGCCCTCCAGGAGCCTCCAGCGCAGGAGTCCTCCACAGTACCTGCCTGGGCGCCTGCCTTGCCTGCCCGCAGCTGCCCTCCGAGGCTTGGGCTGGGCAGGATGGTGCAGCCTGGGTACAGGGGGTGGGATCAGTAGAACATGGACAGTGTCCCTGCCTCTGTACTCCTGACTCTGCCCTCGGTGCCTGCAGCAGCCAGGGATTTTTCTAAGTCCTCGAAGGTAAGAATTCCCCTCCTCCCCCTTTGTGTTCAGAGGCATATCCCTTCCACTTCTGCTGTTCTGGGGATGAGGGGAGCTCCTGTCCTGCTCCAGCTGAGTTGCACAGGAGGCTGATCTCAGCCTAGGACAGTGACACTGGTGGCAGACAGTGGCATGTTCCCCCTCCCTGCCTGGTGCCTGTTGTGTGCACAGCACAGCACAGCACAGCACAAGGTATTCCCCACCAGGCTGGGAGTAGGCACAGGGATAGACAAGCTGCCTGCCTTCTGTCACAGCTGCTGCCCCAGGCTAAACCCAGACCCTGTGCAGGCTGGCTGGAGCAGCTCTGGAGTTCCTTGGCTCCCTAGGACAGCATCAGAAGCAGGTGTGGGAGGGGGGTGGAAAGGGAGGAGAGGATGTATGGGAGGGAAAGGTTGGGCGGGATTCCTACTTGCTTTCAGCACTTGAAGTCCCCGACTGCTACTCCCATGGCATGGTCTGCCTGCCCCAGTAGAGGGTGTGGGGGGGGAGGAGGAGGCATAGCGAATGCAGCTACTCCTGCAGCGCCAGTCACTGCTCCTGCACACCCCCTTTGTAAAATCCTAGATCCACTTCTTGTCTTGGCTGATCTATACTGCAACATTTTACCACCATAACTAGGCTGGCTAAGAGTGCAAGGAGACTATACCCTCTATCTTTCACAAAGTGAACCCCAGAACGGGGTGCAACATGGTTAGTAGCTGTCACACCAATGCTTAAGGCAGTGGTAATATAAACTTTCTTGCTTCTCCATGCACCTTTTTATTCATCAATAGATTGCATAGGCATATTCAGCTAATCATGTACCCTAACCCTCATGATCTCATGGAAAGCAATAACCAAGAGTCCTTGCTGTGTCCTGTACAGCCTAGATTCCTAGGTGTAGAACTTTAGATGTACTCATATTAAAACACATTCTTCCTTTGCCCCCAGCTGCCCAAACCAACCATCACAGTCTCTAAGTTATTTGCCACTGACCCAAGGATTGAGGTGTCTGCAAACTTCATCAGTAGTTAATTATTTAAAAGAACCAATGACCTAGAAGAAAACACAGTCTGTGCAGGACCTTAGTTGGCACACAGCCAAATATGCACAATTCCCTGTTCAGTCTCAAGACCCATCTGTTAGCTAGCTTTTAATGCATTCTGTGTGTAATGTGTTGATTTCATTCCTAGTTTCTTAATCATGTGGCCAGGCAGTACCAATTTAGGGGCCTTACAAAAATGTATCATTTCCCTTTATCAACAGAATATGCAGTCTCAAAGAAGTTTAACATAATTTGCTATAAACCCACTTTGACTAACAGAAACTGTTAATTTGCTTAATTAAAGGAGTTTTGTATCAGTCCTCTTAGCCCAGCCTGGTTCCCAGGAAGACATTAAAATCCTATATGGGTCAGCACCCATTTTAACCAGTGGTCCAAGTTCAGCTTTCTTTCAGTCCATGGATAGGCAACCTCCAGCACACGTGCCAATTAGTGGCACACAGAGACCTTTTCCTCGGCATGCCAGCAGGTATACAAGGAAATTGTTAAAAAAAAAAAATTTTAAGTTGCTGCTTGAGGCTGTCTGGTCCTATCCTTAAGGCATCTCCCTTCTTGGAAAAAGAAGTGAAGACCTTATATGGCTAAGACAGTTCCTTGTGTTACCTTGACAAGGAGGGTCTTAGAGATGCTTGAGTCCAATTGTGCCACAGCTCAAAATCCCCTGCCCTACCAGCAGGGGTTAGAGTCCAGTGCAGGGTTCCTGCGACCCATTTAATAAAACAATGTACCATAGAAATCTTTCCTGGGTTCTTGGTGTTGAATCGAGTTACTTGTTCAACTGTGTGCCCAAGGGCATAATACCTAGGTAGCATGTGCTTGTGTGAAATGACACTGAGGCAAATCAAGGAGCAAATGATATAGCTGCATGCAAGCATCAAGCTGCTGAATGGGAACTATGGGGCTAATGCTATGGCCTGGAGCCATGTGTTCACATAATCTTTCAAATAGCTTTACATATTGAGTGAGGCCAAGCAAGCTGCAGAAACGGAACTGGCGGTTGAGTAAGGGAGACCTCAGTGCCGTAGGATCAAGACCTTGCAAGTGTTTAAAAAACAATGTTGCTTAATATAGACCATGAGAACCTAGGAACAGCCAGGCTGGGTCAGACCAGTAATGCATCTACGCCACTAGACTGTTGGTTGTTACAGAGACTTCAGAGAAAGATGATGCAGCCCCTTCCTCCTGAAACAGGGCCTCATGAAATAACTTGCTCATGAGACCATCTGTTTCTCCTTCTCATGGAGAGAGTTGGTATATACATGAAGTTAAATTCCTTTCCAAACCCATTTTTCTGTTTCAGTCCTTACTAATGTGGCTTGGGATGTTCCAAATAAATGTCTAGCTCTCCTGTGAACTCCTGCTAATGACATGTCCACACCAAGAGTTTGTGACTTTCGTGGGCCTTGGATCTGTCCCAAAGTTGGTGGCAAGGTCAGGAACAGAAATAAGGAACCTTAACTCCCAGTTCCCAACTTGATCTGCTTGTTTCAGCTGGTCCCCTCACCCTCAGTCTTTCTTCAACAAACTAGACAGAAGTGGTAGCTGCTATCCCATGGTTTTGAAGTTGCACTGTTCTTGCCAAGATTTAAGGAAAAAACTTAAGATCCTAAGGGCATGAGCTCCTTTAAACATCAAGGCCTTTTTATATTCCTTTGCAACATGGGTAGATGTTATGCCTGTAATTTACATCAGTATATTCTAAGTCTATGTTTGGGCATTTACTGGTAAATAACTGGCCTGACTCTCACCAAGAACACTGAGCACATTTGAAAATCAGGCTGTTTTGTAGGTCTCTGATGGATTTTGGAATCTCACCTTAGGCACCTGATTTTTATGATCTTGGACCTACCAAGTCAAACAGTAGGAATTTCTCATGATTGTTGGATGATGCCTAGGGTGTAGTGCACTGGAATTTCCTTCTTGGCATTATGACAAAATGTATTAAAAAAAAAAGTCAGCAAAACAAGTTTGCTGGCAGGATAACAGAACACAGCAGATCATTTGCTGACACCTGTCAGAGGTTTGGTTTCAGAATGGAAGAACTGTGACCCCAAAGGTGCCAATGTAAAAAAACCTGGACCTTCCAGCTGATTCACGTACTGACTATATCTTGGCTACTATTAAAAATTGGTCAGTGCCTCTGTACATGGATACTTCTCCTGTCTGGATTCTACCTGGTTGTATAGGATAGTGAAGAGCAAGTCCCTTGGCCCAGCCCACAGCTAGACTTGGGATGCCTGTGTGGCGGTGGCAGCCCTGCCAGCTCGGTGGGAGGTGAAGCATCGTGGGATAGCAGCATAGGTGGAAGCCCTGGTGGGGGCACTGTGTACAGGCTGTGGCCAGAAGCTGTGCGGGGAGCTGCGTCTGGGACTGGGTATTGGTCCAGTATGGGAGCTATTGTGCATATAGCTAGCTGTCTTGCAGCATGTAGATGTATCCAGTGGGTGTAATCCTACCCCCACAGCAATGTTGTCAGGGCCAGGATTCCATCAAACAGGTTCTTTTCTCTGCTTATATAGCTCCATGAAGATGGGGCTAAGAAGGTCTTTTACTAGCATTATTGGTACCTTGCTTCTGACAAGCTGGAGCCTGTATGTGCTATTGATTTCAACACTTGCTTGTCTGGATTGCTATTAATAAGAGTATATTTTGAACTTGTAACTAAGTTTTTTTCTGTTTTTCTAATGTCTACCTGTGTGTCAAGTCCTTGCCAGCATAAACCGTGGAAGGGACTGATGTAACTGTGATACTCAGGAAATGGAAAGAGGATTTTGGTGAAAATTTCATTGAAGAATCTTTAACTCAAGATTTCCCTTTTTCACCATAGCAGCAGAATCTTTTAAAAAAGATATCTCCCATGTGCTTGGGAAGAAATCTGGTTCCTTACTCATACTGTAAGTCGTGTCAGTTGAGAGAGAAGCAATAGGCTTTTAAGTGATGTTGCAGAGTTCAGTGTGGAAGAATTACTGTGCTCCTATATTAGGAAGGTGGTGATTTTATATCCTGCATTAGGAGGGTGGTAACTACCCTGTTTTCAAATGTGAGTGCCTAGTTATGAGTGATGTCATTCAGGTCACTGCAAATTATTAGTGATTTGGGGCCTGACCTCTGACAACTGTAGTTCTTTAAATTGCTGCAGGTTGGCTGCCCAGTCATTCCTGGAAAATCTTGCTCTTCCTATTTAAAGGAGTGTATAGCGGCTTAGCATTGGCTATGTTCTGTTCCCTCCCATTCAGGTACATCTGAATGGGAAATGGTTTTGATGATTTCCACCGTGATGACAAACTTAAAAGATTTCTTAGTAACCTGGTTCACACTTAACTGAATGGGAAAAACGTTTTTCTTGTTATTTTTTGCTTTGACTTTGCAGGAAGAAGCGTTTGTCTGGAGTAACGATGCTGGCTCATTCCCAGACTGTTGCCAAGGCCAAGTACAACTTTTTATTTGGTTCAGACAAAGAAAGACCTTCAGGAATGGGTAAGTAGTGTCATGGAGATTTTTGCCTACTGCTTGTGGAAAGGGCATGCAGGACCTGATTCCTTACAGTCTGTCACTGAAAGCCTGCTTGCATTGGACTCCTAGCGTCAAGAGGCCCAAGTTTGCATTTTAAGCTTGACTTGCTGTGCAAAGGAGCCTTGGCCTAACTGCCAATTGGGCTTGCTTCTTGCTGTATCAAAAATAAAAAAGTGACAGCAGTCCTGTAACCCGGTACACCACTTTCCTCTTGAGATAACAAGGACTATTGCCACGTGATTGTGTCTGGCACCGAACTCTGCATTTGGTATCCCTCCCCTAATTTATACTGTAAATCTCAGAGTCACTCTTTCTGCCAGCTGTACCATGCAAGTAATTTCAGCCATGCTTTCTCATCCTGCATGGGTCAAATCACTGCCAAGCATTTGGGTATTCATTCCAGAAACACATCAAGTGTTCATGCCTGATAATGTATCTAGCTACAGATTCATAAGACTTTGAATTTTGTTTACAACTGCTGAATTAAAGTTGCTTTCTCCCCTGTTCTCTGTATTAGAAGTGATTTCTATTCTGGCAGCAACAAAGGAAATACCTAGTAGTTAGTTCTGCTTCTCTTTGCTATAAAATTGGGCATTTGCCTCTGCCTGTAGATAACCCAAGGACAAGAATTCTAACAAACAGCAGTGTGATGCATGTAATTACCAAAACAGAGAAAAACAAGTCCAGGCCTTCACTGCAGGACAGGTAAGATGCTCTGAGTCAGGAGCTAGTATGCATCTTGGCAAGAGGAACCTCACAAATTTCAAGCTGTCTTGCTAGCATGCCTGTTTTAGTCAAAAGGTTTCTCTTGTCAGCAAGGACCCAGCAGTCAGTGAGCAGCCAAATAAATTGAGCTACAGTCCCTGAAAAACTAATATAGTAAAACCTTGTTAGTTCAATATTAGATAGTTCAAAATATCAGGTACTTCAAAGCCATTGTCATTCTCCAGCTAAAAGGATAGATTGTTGTATGTTTTACAAGATGGATAATTCAAAATATGATTAGTTTGAAATTTGATGCCATTTTTTCAGTCCCTTGGACCAGGAAAACCTTGTTAAATACATTATGTGTCATCAAACCTCTGCAGCACGTACTCAGTCATGGAAACCAACTATAGCAGTGGTGCTCAACCCTTTTCCCTGGTGGGCTGGGTGGGCAGTTCCCCGCCCATCCACAGGCTGGAACCCACCAGTGGCCCCAATCTGGCACTGGGGCTGGCATCATCCGGCCATGCAGAAGGCAGTGGGGGGGCAACCTGGCCCCATGGGGGAAGATGGGGTGTGGCTCACCCCTTGGGGGAAGGGGCATGGCCTTGCTCCGACCCAGCCCTGTGGGAGGAGGAGGTATGGCTCTGCTCCACAGGGAAAGGGACATGGCTTGACCTCACGGGTGAAGAGGCCCGTCCCCAATGTGGCCCTGTAGTTGGAGTGGGCATGGCCTGGCCCTGCAGGAGAATAGGTGTGGTCTTCCCCCAAACTGGCCCAATGGAGGAGAGAATGGGATGAGGCCTGGCCCCTACTCAGCCTGGCCTGGCAGGGGGTAAGGGGGTGTGGCCCAGCCCTGATCCAGACGTGGGGCATGGTCCAGCTGTGACAGGTAGTGCAGGGCTTGGGTTTTGGGAATTTGGGAGGATGAGGGTGACCATATTAATGACCAGTGGTCCCTTGCCACCAAATTTCCTGTCCCATGGAGAGCCCCATGGGCCAGACGCAATGGATCTGCGGGCTTCATGTGGGCTGTGAGCTGGAAGTTGAGCATCCCTGAACTACAAGGTTAATTGAGTGCAGTCTGCACTGAGCATGCCTGTAGAACATTTGGCACAAGGCCAGGGTGCATACTGGGCAAACATGATGGTGGAACCTGCCATAAGGCTGGGTTAGTACAGTCCACCTGAATAAGACATAGTAGGCATTGCACTTGGTCCCCCAAGTGACTGACTGTTTTTTAAGCCCTAGTGAATCACTATGTCAAATACATTTCAACTTCCTCTTCACTCCCACAGCTGAGCAATGTCTTTCTTTCCTATTTCTTCACCAGCCTTAAATGTCTGGCAAACATCACCAAATGTCTACATACATGAGAGCCTCGGCTCCCTTTCTTGGCCTGTCACGTGTGACTGGTGTGGTCCCACCTTCCATGGGATGGAGCTGGATCAGGCAGCCCCACCCCTCATCTGCATATACATTTTTGGAAGGTCTGAGGACTTGACAAGAACACCCAATTCCAATTACGAGTGGGTGGCTAATTAGTATGTGGATCTTGTTGGGAGTATATGGAATACACACACATATAGAGTAATGCTGGGCTATGGGGTCACCCTGTCTTGAAACGTTGTTGGCTGCTGGGGCCTAGCCCAACGAACTACACTCTAAATCATGAGCCTCTTACGAGCGTTCCAAGGAAAGGTGATTTTACATACCTCGTCCTGGCCTTGAATAACTTAGTTTAGCTGAGGGTGGAGACCTGTCCATTGCACTGCAGGCAAGCACCCCTGCGAGAGTCTACTGTAGCCTCCCAGTGGGAACATCTTGGCTACATAATTTATGGTAATGGGTGATTGTTCTTGGGCTCTTCCTCTGGCTTGCTCCTATGGTCTTTCCCCAGGAGCAA